ATAACTATAATTAAATAAAATTTTGTTCAGTGTCTTTTTTTAGTATTTGTCTTCTCCCACTAAATCCGAAGGTGTTAAAGAGCCAGGATTGTGTCTGTCCTGTTGATTATCTTGGACCCCACATGCACTGTGTCAAACACTACCATCATATTGAAAGTCCATTCCCAAGGACTGAGCAGAGAGCAGACCAGCAAAACGGTGATTGATGAGTTTGACTAGGGCCCTGTCACTACCATAGGTACACAGAAGAGGGTCAGGGAAGACTTTCACGAACAGTGACAACCAAACCTTTTAGTGGCACATCCCATTTCACTGTAAAATCTTATCATTTCCAGCACGTTTTTGCAGGCAAAAATCCACCCAAGTATTACTGCACTGATGTGAACACTCAAATACAGAATCAGAGCCTAAAACAGAAGGAAAGGTGAAATACTATTTTTGAGAAAACGTGACAAATCTTGCTTAGTTTAAAAAATCTTGATTAACTATTTCATGATAGTGATTTGAAAGAATGGGTCTAGGCTGGTTTATTTCCATACTTGGTTTTGATGACCCGAGGAAGGTTCGTCACTAAGAAGGACCTCAATGGCTACACTTACTAAGCCGTGAGAGACTCATAAATCCCACCTTGATTATGAAGAGGTTTTCCTCCAGATTCTCTTTTTAAGAGTTACTTATTTTATTTATTATTATTATTTTGGTTTTTAAATTTGGTATAGGTCACATGTGCTCACCAGAGAGAGATAGAAAGAGAGGCAGTGAGAAAAGTGAGAAAGCAATCTGCCAAGTCTGGAACTTGAACTGTGGTCAACACTGTGAGAGTCCAAAGCCCTAACCACCACACCACCTCCTGGCTCTTCCTCCAAATTATTTTCACAAGTGTTTACCTACATTGATATCTTCAAAGGTGTTCTTTCCATATATATTTACATATATATACATATATATGTGTGTGTGTGTATGTGTATATATATATATATGTATATACACACACACATACACACACATATATACATATATACACATACATATATACATATACATACACACAAACATATATATTTTTGGAACTTGTCAAAAGCCTACAAAAACTGGGACCAGCAGTTAGCGTAATGGCTATGTTGCTGGACTCCCACGTAGTTGACCATGGTTCGAGTCCCGGACTCGGTGGCTTAAACTCATGCCGGGCGCTTGTGCGTACGTGCCCAAGATCCCGAGAGGAGAATGGAGGAGAAGGGATTGCAGCATGGCCATCCCCCTGGGGGGTGATTTCTCGCTTTCTGTCTGTCTCTCTCTGTCTGTCTGGCAAGCGCACGCACCCTATAGCAAAAACCTCTTAAAAAAAAAAAAAAGCCTACAAAAACTATTCCAGAGACTTTGAAACGAGGCTTAAAATATTTATATTTAAGTTTGAGTATATGTGAAGAAATTAGTTTACTTAAAAAAGAAATTGTTTTAGGGACCAGCAGATGGCATAATGGTTACATCACTGGATGCCCACGTGGTCAACCGCAGCTCAAGTCCTGGACCTGGCGGCTTAAAATTCAGGCTGGGTACATGAGTATGTGTGCATGCCCCGAATCCTGAGAGGAGAATGGAGGAGAAGGGACTGTGGTGTGCTCATCCCCTCTGGGGTGGGGGGTGGAGGTGGTGGTGATTTCTCGCTTTCTGTTTCTCTGGCAAGCACATGCACCCTAAAGCAAAAATTTCTCAAAAAAAAAGTTTAAAAAAATAAAAGATACACTTATATTAGTTTTAGTGATAAAATTCCACCATAATGGGGAATACTTTCAAATAATTTTTAAAAAACTGCTCTGTTTGTAGTGTACTTGCTGATTCATCAGATGACACTTGTACCTCAAAGGGACAAATGGTGTTCACTTCTTTAAAATATATCTGCTAGGTAAGAACCTGCTAAATATCTACTGATTGACACTTGTCTTCATGAGAAAGGTTAAGCAATTATGAAACTTTTTTTTTGTAAAAAGAAAAAGATACAATATCTTTAGTCTGACAAATATCTAATACTAATAGTAAATTACTAAAGGTCTTCAGTATTTTACATTCTAAGTGGTTTTTATTTAAGCACTGTGCTATTATATAACCTACACTGTTTATCGTCACTTCTTCCTGTTACCAGAATTCCTCCATCTGAGTCTAGTCTGCTCGCCCAGCCATACTTCAAACACCTAGACACAAACCAGCTTGCACTGTCCACCTCAACTCTTCCCTCAGAATTCTTCACATACCAGATGTCCCCAGGTGCACTGGAATGAATGCTAACTTGTGTTTTCTTAAACTCCTTTGGCAAAAAGGTCCAAGTACTAGTATCCACTTCCTGCACTCCAGTGGTTCCTCTTTTGCACCCCGTGGGGCTGACATGGACCACTGCTGGAAGCGGCAACTCCTAGAACACAAGAAGTATTTTATGTTCTAAATAGGTTTTCCCAAGGGTCTCGTACATACCATCGACTCACTCTTTAATCTGCAAGTTATCCCTGAAACTTAGGTAAATTATAAAGCTAACATAAATATGCTATTGCGCCAATGTTAAAATCATCCTTACTGCAGGCGGCAGGTAGCATAAGCAATTAATGCTACGTGCAAACATACTGAAGTACTTTAGGGGAAAAAAAACCCTCTAAAATGATTTCAAGTTGAATTCTTTTAACAAATTAATCATATGCTCTAAATCAGTCTAGATGAACGGGAGGGGAGTTAACCCTGTAATTGTTTGATTCAGGGCAATCGATTATGATGCTAAAAAATTAAAGATATTTCATTAAAAATGTCATTAAATTCTAACCTCAAAGCAACTGAATAATTTGGTAAGAAAATATTGGGGGGAAAAAAGTTAATCTCCAGTAAAGATACATATTAAAATGAGATTTTTTTTTTCAATTTGTCAGAAGGTATATGTTTTCAGCCCAATAGAAACACATAGAGGAAGAGGGAGAATGCATTCCACAATGGACAGGATCACACTGCAGTCCCATCTCCTCTGTCTTCATCCTGTGAGGACTTGGGGCACACAGGCCCGGCATGTTTTTCAAGCTGCTAGGGCAGGGTTTCAAACTATGTGGTGGGCCATGTGGGATCTGGCTGCCTTAACCATCAGGTTAAGGAACTGGCCCTAAGAAATGATACTTAACCTTGGATTCAAATAAATGGGTTTCAATGATAAAATCTAACGCTGAAAACACTGTGCTCTCAAGCACTCTCAGTGGCAGGTAAATTGAAATAGCTACTGAGGAGGCAATATGGTAACACTCATCAAATCCTAGAAAGCTGTACATCACCTCTCCCCTCGACAGAGAGCGAGCACACAAAAATGAAGGTGACTCCATTTATAACAGGGGAATATTAGAATGAACCTTATCATGAAATGAAATTACTTTTGTAACTACACTCACTCCTCCAAAAGCTGAGGTCAGGCTGAGGAACACAAGTATTTGCTGCTCTGAATGTGTTAATAAGGAAGCTTTACTAAGCAGAGGAAGTGTTTGGGTGCCCACTAACACCACGTGGAGCAGACACTGCCCAATTAAAATATGGTCATTTCCATATTTACTACAGATTATGCAGTAATCCCAGTACTATTGCATGCATATGCATGCACTCTGTAAAATTATGATCTTAAATCAAAGTACTAGGTTTCCTACTCCTTTCTACATTTAAATAATGAAAAAAATTTTGGATACTTTCATAGGTCTCAGGCATTTTAATAGAAAATAACTTTGGTTCTTACCATTTACATACAAATGACCTAATAACGACCCTCTGGTTTGAAGGGAGAGATTTTTATTCTACTAAAATAAATTGTATTCTATTTTACATGTAAATGTTTGTGCTGAAAAATCACTATCTAACGTGTGTGTTTTGCAGTTTACCATATGCACCAACGTATGGATAATGTATGGATAGCCTCTGTGGGTGTCACCACTATTCCTCTCGGCCAGGATGATATCTAAAAGACCATGGCTCCTTGGTGCAAATAGGAAATGCTGATGAAACTAACCACAATCCGAAAGGGAAATTAGTTCCAGTTTGCTTTCTAATTCCATGCTGTAGCTTTTCAAAGGGCTTTTTTTTCCTGCTTACTCTTGTTATTTTTCTTCTGGTTTCTGAGAACAGTTTAAGTTTTGCTTTTGACAATGTTAGTGATTATGTCATATGCTAATTTTGGATTAACAGTCCATTATTTGTTTACTTTTAAAGAATTACTTATTTAATTATAATAATAATAATGATTATTATTCAATTTGACCAGAGACACAGACACAGAAAGAGAGGAGGAGAATGAGAAAGCAAGCCACCAGGTTCAGGACTCAAACTGTGGTTGGCCATGTGGGAGTCCAGTGACATAACAGCTATGCTATCTGCTGGCCCAGTCCACCATTTGTTAAAATTGATGATTGATGATTGAGTTAGATTTCCTTAATTTGATTACCTTATTTTTGTAAAGCTCATCTCTCCATAGTCAAAACTTTGTATATAACTTTTGACTCACCCAAAACTTAACTACCAATTGCCTACTGTTGATTGGAAACCTTAGAAATAACAAACAGTTGACCAATATATCTTGTATGATATATCATATATTATATTCTTAAGGTAAACTAGAGAACCAACAAAAAACTCATGTCTCAGTCTCTTTAAAAGGGGGTATTTCATTCACAGCTACAGTTTTCAATTTATCCACTTTATGGAGTTTTAGTCCTTCCCTACCCATCTCTGACGATATTTATAGTTTAAAAGTGCAAGTACTCCACTCTACCTACAAAAACATAATTTCTGCCTGCCTGTGTCTCTTTTACCCTTTCTGTTAAAAGCAGTAAGTTGATAATAATTATTTAATTCAGGAGGAAACAAGGAAATGAAGTTGTTTGACGTGCACCACCATGCAGACGATCACTGTAGACCGTCTGAAAACAGGGACAGGCAAGAAAGCAGATTTGTAAACCACAGCTCATGTGTATAAAAGAAGACTTCTGTTTTATTCTTAAAGAATACTGTTGCCTTTAACTCCTCCGTCCTCCTGTCCATGACACCCTTCCAATTCCTTAGTGATTGCCAAACGCTTTGGAGAAGGCGGGGTAAGACGCATTCTTTTCCTCACTCCTTCCATTACGCACTTTATCCAGCGTCTTCTACTTGCTGGGCTTTGTGTAAATACCTGGGAGCACAGAGATGATGAAGGAAAAAAAAAAATCAATGAACTCCCACAGAACCCAGTCTAATGGGGGAACTAGACAAGCATGGACCCAGCACCATCAGAGAGCTGCGGAGGGGCAGTTTAATTCTCTGTGTTGGAGTAGGCCCCTTTCCTGAAATGGTGACACTGCCGGAAGGGGGCAGTCAGTGTTCTAACCCCTTAGTGTGGGACTACTCCTTCTGCCCTAAATGTTGATAACACATGATAGTCACTGGCAATTTAAACAAGTTCATAAAAATGTGTCATTAACTTCTGTTTCGTTCAGCAGCCCAAGTGTAACTGTGGGTTCTGTGCTGAGCCTCGGACAGGGGATATGAAATATGCAAAACAGTGAGGCCAGACGACAGCCGACTGCCAACATGTGGATGACATAAAATTACAGAGCGCTTTAGCAGCTCAGGGAACACCAGCACACCTGGCATAAGGTTTACTGGAAAAGTAGGAGTTGAGGGATATCTTCAAGGAGCCTAGTTAACACTGCAATATTTTCTTCCTTTGTTAAAAGAGATGAAAAATCTTATACCCATTTCTTGCCTCAACACTCTGTAGCTTCAGTATTTAGCAAACTTATTTACTGACTGGATAGAATTTAGACTTTTAAGAATTATTTTACTCAACTTTATTTATTTACTTATTTTAATTTGACCAGAGAGGCAAAGTGAGAGAGAAAGAAAGAGAGAGAGGGAGGGAGAGAGGGAGGGAAGGAGGGAGGGAAAATGAGAAAGCAAGCTGCCAGGTCTGGGACTCGAACCATGGTTGGCCATGTGAGAGTCCAGTGCCCTTAACCTCCATAGCACCTGCTGGTCCCGAATTCAGACTTTTCTCATGGATACAGGTTTTTCCAAGTTACACTATAAACTCAGAAGAATTGTTTTGTTTTCTGCTTTCGCCTCACAACAACGGTTCAGTCACTCTTGATAGACAAATTTTAAATGGTACAGAGTACGAGAATGTGTTGTGGTACATAAAGAAAAATTAGGAATTTGTTTTAAATTTCTGTTTTCCTTTTACTGTCACTATATTTTTCCTTTCAAAATGGAAGCTAATACAGTTTATCATGCTATGAATAAATTGGATATGGGGCTGGCTCTGTGGCCTAGTGTTTAAGAGAGACAGCTCCTGCATGTCTAGCTGCACAGTTCAAGCCCTGGATCCAGTGGCTTTAGAAATGAGCCAGGTCGTCGGGATCAGCATTTAGTGTAATGGCTATGTCACTGGACTCCCACGTAGTCGATCGCGGTTCACATGCCAGACCTGGTGGTTTAAACTCACGCTGGCGCGTGTGCGTGTGTGCCCAAGATCCCGAGAGGAGAATGGAGGAGAAGGGATTGCGGCGTGGCCATCCCCCCTGGGGGGTGATTT